TCACACTTGCTTCATAGCAAGGTGAGCACAAAAAAAGGCCATGAGACGAAAATAGTACTGGAGGAAATGTATGTCCCACGTATATATGTTTGTAGGGAGTGAAAGGGACTGATTAAATCCCCTTTCTCACAGCCATCCAAAAGTCAATGATAAATTTGAAACCTGAACAACAACTCACACTTGCTTCATAGCAAGGTGAGCACAAAAAAAGGCCATGAGACGAAAATAGTACTGGAGGAAATGTATGTCCCGCGTATATATGCTTGTAGGGAATTGAAAGGGACTGATTAAATCCCCTTTCTCACAGCCATCCAAAAGTAGCGCGTATTAATCAATGATAAATTTGAAAATTGGACAGTATCTTCTCCCTATTCAAAACTTGCTACAAGGTTCAAAGTTGTCTGTGACTTTTGATTAATGAGCCCGGCCTAAATTGATCAAAGTCTGCAAACACTTATCTTGAATATACGAGAAAATTGTGTTTACTTCATTTTTCTTTGTTCTGCATTATTGTCCAAAGGTTCTTTTCTTGACGTTTTGCCTGCGATCCGGTCGAAAACAACTTTAATCTTTTCAAGCAAAAAGAAAACACGGCGAATGGAAGCTGATACAAAAGGACCCAGCCGTGATTGAAACGGCGCCCTACCGATCTGCAGTCGGTTGCTCTACCACTGAGCTATGAGTCCGTTGCGGTTTCGATGCGCAATCGTAACCTCAACAACGCGTTTTTCGCGCGGACAGACTTTTTGGGGGCTTTTTAGTTCGTTGACATGGGAGATGCTTGACCCAGGAAACTGTAATCAAACAACAATGGCGGGACGATCAAGACGGGGACGATCATCAAGGACCATGACAACAGGAACAACAGGATCCTCACCAGTTGTGCCAGTATCAACCATTCTCACCAATCTTCCAACCGAACTCATCACAATGATCATATCAGAGTTGCCAATGTCAAAACGAATGTATCTCAATTTACAGAAAGTGGGTCGACTTTTTCGAACAGCAATGCAGTTGATTCCAAAATGCATTCAACTTAGCATCGATATAAGTAATACATCATCATATGGTCTGTTATCAGTCAACCACTGAGAAACAAATCAAGGTCAAAAAGGTTACTAAATCATTTGCTTGGGATTCCGAATGTTTGCCGATTCAAACGCCCACCTTATTCTCAAACACCACTCAACCTCAATCTCAACCTCAATCTCAATCTGAATCTCGCCTAATCCCAAAACGATGTTTGGTACTGGCCGTTTGCAACATTCAGATACATCCTTTTCTTCTCCCGGAGGATCCAACATTTATTTTGAGCTACCTTCATCACTTGGCCATTACTTCATTGCATTTACCAAACACATCATATTTATCTAATGTTATGGTGGCATGTTCATACTATAAATGTAAGGTTTTGGTTCTATTTATGACGAGGGATTTATGGCTTTCTTTGTTTACGTTCTTTTTATGATCTTGACCTTATCATTTTTATCTAATTCTTATTTCGGTAACATACTTTTCGTTCTCTTCGTCATTTTGTTTTGTATCATCAATAGTTCAGCTTGAGGACGTACCAACTGTGGATCAAGATCTTTTAGAGTGTTTAAGAAAAGCCTGTCATCGTTTAATGGGTGCCTTGAGATCAAAGGTACGAGTTTTGCGCAAAGAATGGTTAACACGCTTCCTAAGATTCTTATATTCTTCTTTTGGCCATGATGAGCAGAACATTAGTGGAACTTGGCACCAAGATCTACGTCAACATATCACGCGTAACGACATCAAAGTTCTCAAACTAACCTTATACGATGATTATCCCTGCGCATGCCTGGACTTCACAAGTTTGGCAACCCGATTTCCGTCATTGGAGAGTTTGACTTTGCTGGTAGAAACTGATCATGATAATTAACCCATCATTGGACTATGCGAGTTTAGGAGTTTGAGAGAACTTTTACTTGAAGAAGATGCAATTTGGGATGTGGAAACGGCATTGGAAGAGAATGATTTTCCACCTTATTTTGCAACTTTGAGGGTAAGTTTTTTTTGGGAGGGCGCAAATATCGTCATAACGTGATGTTGTACTTGCTAAGGGCGACATTGATTTTTTTTCCTCCATTGACCTCCACAAATCTACAGATCGACAACCATGTTTCGCCAGAGTTCTTCTTCAAAATATTAATGAAGAACCCAACTCTCAAAGACTTTCAAAGGGTTAATGTTGACTCGGCAAGCTTCTTCTTGCAATGTGAAAATGAAATGAAACTTTCAGATTCGTTCACTCGAACCATTACGAATCTGCAGTCTTTGACGATCCACTACAGAGCTGACGATATTATTGATTGTACATTACTGGCCGATAGATTACCCAAGGTGTTTCAAGCCTTGACTCGTTTAACCATTCACTTAGTACCCGTTCTGTTGCTAATGCCGGGTTTACTCCTGAGCAATTTTTTAGAGTGTTTTCAGTTTTGGCAGAACGCTCTGTTTGTTTGAGAAACGTAGATTTGATTGGTTTGGGGTTATTTCCCGTTGGGGATGAAGAAGAACCAAACATAATTCATTAGAAGTTTGTGAAGCCGGTTATCGACCATTTCAAAAACCGTAGGATGGTGGCTTCTGCGCGTAAAAATCGGTTTTGACATATATTTTATTCTTATTCTGAAGTTGAAAGTTTATGTCTTGTTGTACATCAGCTTGTCACGGTTTCCTTTAATTTGTTTTTTCCCTTTCTCTTCGTTGGATTTTGCTTAAATCAATAGATTGCTGACTTTGTTTTCTTGAAGGAGCTTTATATTGCCACGGATGTTTTGAAACATTGCTATATATTTCATCCAATTGTATTTCGTAAATATTGATGAGGTTTGTTTTAAGGAAGAGTTTAGTATTGCACGCGAATAAAAATGCTTTGAAACAAATTCTGTATTTTAATTACTGAAAACTTCGGTGGGATATTGTGTTTTGACAAGCTCTTTTCATTCCTTCTTTGATCGTTATTTGGTTAATAATCTGTAATTTTATATGCTCTCGCGCTGGATGTGTCATGTACGCCATTCATATCTCGCAGACCTTTCGTTACTTTGTTAATTGTCATTCTTGAATTAAAATGTTTTTATTTTTCACTGTTCTTTATTCACCAATGCATTGGGCATAACCGCATTCCCACCATCAACTGTAATGACGCGACTGGACTCTCCTGTAAACACGCGGTTGAGATTCGGTTGACGCATCGCCGCGTTTTTTGTTGGGGCAACCGTGTCAATCGTTGACATGGTCGCGCTTGGAAAAAAGAACTTCCGAAAACTTTAGAGTTTGCAATCGCAGCGGCAAGGACCAAGAGAGATCACCAAGGATGATGATGACCATGACAACAGTAACAACTGCAGGATCCTCACCGCTTCTACAAGTGTCAGCAACTCTCACCAATCTTCCTACCGAACTCATCACAATGATCATATCACAGTTACCAATGTCAAAACAAATGTATCTCACTTTACAGAAAGTGTGTCGCCTGTTTCGAACAGCAATTCATTTGATTCAAAAATGTATTCAACCTCATGTCGATATTGCATCATACGAACCTGTATCATTACATCATTGGTCAAAAGAGGTGCAACAAATCAAGGTTAAAGCAATAACTCATTCATTTACTTGGGATTCCGATGTTTGCCCATTCAAACCAACCATCAACAGCAATCAATGTGAATCTCAATCGCAATCTCAATCTCAATCTCGCTTAATCCCAAAGAGATGTCTGGTTCTTGCAATTTGTAACATAGATGCATCCTTTTCTTGTACCGGACGATCCAGCATTTGTTTTAAACCATCTTCATCACCTGGGTATAAAGTCGGTGTATTTGCGAAATTTATCACTGCGATCCAACGTTATGGTGGCGTGTTCTCACTCTGAATGTAGGTTTTTAGATTTCTGTGTTGGGATGTCGCCTTTGCCGTTGATATTAACAAATACACTTACTAATTCTACTTTATTTGTTTCCTCGCCTACCCACCTTCGAACGAACGAAACATGAAGTTTTCATGGAGGAGTCGACAGAAGAAATGGATCTCCAAAGTCTTTGGAAAAGCCCTGTTTCCGTTTGATGGGAGATTTGAGATCAAAAGTAAGTAAATACAAATCAAACGATTGATTATTACTTTCAAATTAAAACACAATCTCGTCGGTTAATCCAGAATATTACGGCAGTCTGGAATCCAGATTTACTTCACCATATTACACGTAACGATGTCAAAACTCTCAAATTAATCGGAAACAACAATCACCCTATCACCGACCTTTCAATTCTTGCAAAAACGTTTCCATTGCTGGAGAATTTACACTTGCGAGCAGGCAATGAGAGTAATTTCTGGCCATTGGCTGGAATTTATGAATTTACGAAGTTAAGAGAACTTGTATTGCAAGAGGATGCAGTTGGAGATGTGGACACAGTTTTGGAAGAGATTTCTTTGCCGCCGTTGTTGAAACGTTTAACGGTAAGTTTTCTTTAAGTTTTAAGTTATTCGTAGGATATGGTTTCTTTTCCTGGTTCTTTCAATTTGCTTTTCTTTCTGACAAACGACGGCTTTTTGTGGCCGGTCTTTAAAACTTGAATGGGAACAACGAAACGCATCAACTAGGTTGGCGAGTGCGTATTTCCAGAATCATTCTTTAAAATATTGATTAACTGCCCATCTCTTGAGGAATTTTCTACGGTTCTCACCAGAACTTTCGACTTTCTCTTGTGCTGTGAAGATGAAATGAAACTTTCAAATTCATTACGCACAACCATCACCAATTTCAAAACGTTAAGCATCGGATATCCGCTCACGAATATCATAGATTTCACTCTGTTAGTTGATAGGCTGCCGAGGAGTTTTCAAAGTGTCGGCATTTACGTCTTCATCTCTCTGTCAATTTGTATGCGAACACGGATCTTCTGACGGGTACACTTTGAGGCAATTTCTTAGCTGCTTTACCATTTTGGAAGAACGGTCTCTTTCTTTGATTAAGGTTGATGTTACTTATCCCGAGTTACCTAACAATCGAGATGGATATGAAAATACTTTTTATACTGCCTTTGCAAAACCGGTTGTCGAAAATTTTAAGAATCGTCAAATGGTGGTTCATTACGTGAATATTAGGGGGGTTTGTTGGTGGATCTTTGCTTAATGGATACGATTTGGTGTGTTTTATGTTGGTTGTTGTTATGCTTATCGCTGGATGTCACGTAATCAGTTGATTTGATATGGATGAAATTGTTTTCGTTGTGGATTTTTGCAGGGGTTGTACTTGAAAAAAATGGTTTTTATTCAACTGTTGATGTTTTTGTGCTCTTGTTTTTTATTTGGTCTTTTATTTGCTAGAAGTTTTTGTGTGATTACCAGGTTTTAGTTCCGTTATATATGAAATTCGTTTTTAGCTGCATGGCATGGATGGTGATCAAATTCAATGAAAGAAATGGTTGCATTTTCTTGTGCTTCTTCAAGCAAGTCTGAAGACTCTCCTTTAACAAGGCGGTGAGTTTCATTAACGTCATGGTGGTTCAAACATGGCCCCCCTTGAAAATCGTCCACGGCCAAAGCAAAGTCCATTCTGCTAATTCATCACAACAAAGTTGAAAGACCGTCAAAACTTCCAAGAAAACCCTAACATCAAGGATGATGACGACTGCAATACCCGAATCCGTTGCACCCCTAG